CTTTGAGCAAATCCCAACACTGTGGCCACGAACCAGATGCATCTTCCTTAACGGGCTCAGCATTTTTCTTGGATGTTAGGCCCGTATTACTAGCCAAGCCTGGTTTCGTTTGATTACTGTCACCACTATTGACATTTGTACCCTCACTTAGAACCCTGATTTCCTCTGCAGGCACTTCTTCCTCGTTCTGTGTGCCTGAATGTGACGTATCTAAAGCTAAATGGAATTTTCCGGCCAGGCAATCCGTGAGAAGCAACGAGTCGTACTGCTCATGATTCGTCCATATTCTCATGTCCGGTGGGAAAAGTCCAGTCGTGCTCCATTTTCTCAGCTGAATCATCGAAAACGGGCCCTGAATCTTACTGTTGGGATCTCGATAGTGCCACAGGTTCTCGGTCTCCATTATACTCGTCGGTTGGGAGTTTTCCACTGAGGCAATTGCTAGTGAAGTCTCTAATACAGAACTTTGCAAGGCTTGATCCTTCTTAATACCACTTGATTCGCCAGATTTGATTTTCTTTCTCACTCTATTTCGTGTCCGGACGATCCTTTCTTCTTTATCTGAGGAATTGTAATTCAAGAAGTTCATGTGGTCAAATTTATATTGAACCAGGTGAAAGATCTACAAGATTCTATTGTGTTAAGAAAAAAAATGACCTTTTTTATTAGAAGAAATGGGCTTCTTCCTTTCATTTTGAGGAGGAAGATCCGAGTCGCTTGGCCGCACATTTTCATCTGTGTAGATAGAAAACAATCGGTTAATCGAGTAACGGAGAAGGAAACATTTTCAAGACTGTAAAAGGCGAACCAAGATAAGAGTTACCTGCTTTACTAACACCGGCACTTTTGGTATCTTTCTCCGATTCATAATTCGGATTCATTTTCAGATCCAAGTGCACCTCTGGGATTTCGGATATTCTTCTGCTACGCTCTTCGGGCAATTTTAGCATCTGCAATTTCTCGACATGCGTGCAAAACGAGTCAAAGGAACTTCAAGTTCATTTTACCATGATAAAAGCAGCTAGCAAAGGATAATCAAGAACAAACCAGCTGCAATGTTTAATGTGATAATCCACACAACACGATACGAAAATAAGAGCAATAAACACCAACAGACATTGTACATTTTGAAATGCCCTGACCAGACTTACACAAACAAGCCAGGCCAGTTGCTTCTCATTCAAATGCAAGCATGAAAGCACTGAACTAAAGGAGGTAATTATAAACAAAGGATATTCTTTCTTGCGCCCATGCTCGCTAGCACGGTCTCTTAAATGATTTAGATTAGCAAACATTAAAAGTAAAAAAGAAAATTAATAAACGGAAAAAATAATGGAAATTGCATAACAGAATTTCGATCCAGAAAGATAAGAACCGAAAACAAAAAAAAAAACTCACATCGTCAACCCTTACTGGTTGGAGTGCCATAGCTTTATTTTGTATCTCACCCTGAAAGCAAATGAAAATATTAAGTCATACAATGGCATGTGGATTCATATAATGAGATCTAAGAAAATTAACACAGTGAGAACTCACAACAGTAAAGTGCTTCACAAGCCCGCATTTCATACTTTGACGTAGCCGTTTGCATTCCTCCTGAATATCACGATAGACAATTGAACAGTAAATAACACATTAAAAGAAACTTCACAATGGACATTCACAGTTGTGACATCAAATCAAGCAACCGAAGCTTGATCAAAACATGTTTTCTAGTACAAATACGTGACTTATAGAAAGAAACGATCGTCATAATTAAATTAATCTAATCAAGTTATTTAACAATTGGCAAATCCAATTTCACATCGGGTAAATTTTGTACCTATAGTATAGACTTAATATGCCTCCTGCAGAAATCATATTTATTAAATACAACAAAAGTAAAGTTTAAATAAATTATCCTTACAATGCATTGAGTTTAGAATGTAATGAAATGACATTATTTCGAAATACCAAAAGATTTCCTCTATCCTTTGTTCTTCTTAAAGATAATGTTGTATCTCTAATAATACCTCAGTAAACTCTTGATTCGAAACCGCATCAATTGATACAACTTCTTTCTTGTCCAAATTCAAAACTTCAAGCATAAAATCTTTTGTCCTGCTGCCAACGCTATATGGTTCACCAAGAACCTTACTAGTCCCTGAATCAAACATGCAAAAATGAGTGGATTCATGCAAAACGCAAAAAAGGAAGAAAAACGAAGAAGCCAAAAGTATGCATTTTCATAAATGCATGCACTTTTACCTACTACTTGGACTAGCCTGTGAAGAACCTCCAGCTTCTGATCGTCACTCGATATTTTAATCCTTACAATGGACCCGATAACTTTACTTTCGAAGCTCTCACGATCATCGATAAGTTTCTCCAACACATTACGCCTCAAATAAATTAAGTTAATGTTGTGGACATCAATCGCTGCACAATACTCATTCGAGTCATTATTCTGTTGTGGTGCTCTCTCCTCACACTTTTTACTACTCGTTTTCTGCTTTCTACTAATCGTACGAGAACTAACGAGCCCGGGCGGAATAAAGTGAAGCTCGAGAAGCTTCAGCATCTCGATATGGCCGACACTTGGCTTGCCGAACAAGTTTCTGAGACTCTGATCGCACACGATCTGGCTTTTTCGATGTGGGTCCCGCAGGTTGTTCTTCTTTATGTAGTCGAGCAAAAGCGTTTGCACGTCAAACTCAGATATAACCGATTTTTCGCCTTTTTTCATGAGGGAAACACATTCCAACAGGTCCTTAGTTGCCCACTCAGAATCTTTCCAAGTGCTCGTCTCGTTATTGATTTCATACGCGATCGGTTTTGTGGTGTCTTTATCATGACCTGGCGTTATAACCCCAATAATATTATCATTATCTGTTTTCTTTACATCAAAACCGGTGCTCAGTAGTGCTGTTTCAGCCGGGACACTTTTACAGGGGTTTTTAGCTCGAATCAGCTCGTCGAGTGTCAATGAAAACTTCTCCTTTAAGATTACCCAATACACCTTGAATAGATACTCCCAGCTAGTTTGGTCATCAAAATCTACCTGAGTTTTCGAATTGCGAATATAAGATGTGAATTTCCAACATTCGATGCATGTCAGCTAAACAGAATTCATTCGTTTCATCGAGCATTATAGCAGACATGTTGGGATTCTTCTTCTCTGTTCCCAATAGGTTAACCAGATTTTTTTTTTTTTTTTTTTTTCCATATATAACAAACAATTTACCTTCTGATCATAAACCAACCTACACAGACAAATAACTCTGACCTACCGATGTTCTTAAACAAGATTACATAAGGTTCCCTTTATCGAGGCAATATAAACAGTAATCACCAAAAAGATTCAGTTTTTGGATTTTTGCTGGATGAAGTTGAGAAATGGAAAACTAGGAAAGCACGTGATGGTACGTGTAGAACAAAGATGACTTTGATAACCGATATTCATGAAAACATGCTGAAAAAAAGTATTCATAACCACAGAAGAAATGGTAGGACCATGCCCCATTCTCATTTACGTAGTTAAATACTCATTCAAAATATGCAGATCACGTTAAGAAAATTTCCGAGTGAAGAACCTCGGATAAAGTACTTGCATTAAATGGCGAATGATTCATTTTAAGCCATAAATACATTTTGGTTTAAGTACGAACATAAATGATTCATCATTGAACATCTTATCCACAACGAAAAGCATGCGCTTTTAATTATCAACCAAATCTTCACTACTATCACCGTCATGATTTTTCAGAACCCCAGTTAAGTAAATGCACGAAGAGACATGCAATTGAACAAAAATAAAAACAAAGCAAAAGAAAAAAAGAAAAAGGAAAAGCCTATCAGAAAAGGAAAAGGATGCAAATCCATGTACAAGCCAACGTTCCTCACCGATCCCGCCTTAAGCCATCACAATAAAAAATAATAAGAGAACATTTAAAAACATTAGAAAATGAACAAACCAGCAGCCAACCAACAGATGAATTGGCAACGGTGAACTGTAAGAAGAAGAGACTTACTCAAAAACCGAAATCCATATTAATGACAATCTACTCAATAATGTGCCTCGATTTATAAATTATGATATAAAAAGAATTTTCATACCGACTCAGTGTTTGCTTGGTCCTTGTTTTCAATCAGCATGATTGTTTTCATGCAAATCGTGCAAAATCCTTTGTTTCCTCTGACACAAACGTAGTCTGCATCTTTCGTACATCCTTTGCACAGTGAATAGGTGCAAGTGTAACACAAATAATGAGAAGTCTTTCTACATACACTACATATGTGCCAGCCTGAAAGCAAGATCACCATAATTAGCCCAAAAAAGCAAGAACACCATAATTAGCTCAAAATCAAGAAACACGTAGGTTAATCAAATGAATGGGCATGCATAATCAAAGCCCGTATTAGAAAGAGAAATTAAGGGTTAGGCCAGCAAAAAACTAGTAAATTGCGCTATCAGTACATATAAAAGAAAATTTGTGGCTTCATTCACAAGTCGTAAACCAATGAACATCTCAGAAGGCATTAATAGATCAAACCTACAACACATGGACTTCCACCAAATAACTTGTCCATGTAAAAAACAACAAAAAGAAAGATTGCCATAATGCATGAAGTTTCTTACAAATGAGAAAGACAAGTAGATAACACATACCACAATTCCACTTAGCTTTCGACTGGAAAAATGCTTCGTCCCGCTTGATGCATGCTGGATGATACGCCTTTGGGCAGCCCCTACCAGTCATCAGAGAAATGGAATTAACTAACTGTATAATATAAACATTCAAGAACACTCCTTTCATACTATTAATCCTTTCAAAGACACATCGATTTTTTTATTATTTTTTTTTTTAAAACAAGAAATACATATAGCCGCATTCCTCCAAATAATTACTGAAAATACACCACAAAAGATAGAGTAGAATCATAACCAAACTCACTTGCGATCACAGAGCACCAGAGAACCCCCATCGAAGCAAATAAAGCAAACATCCTCCTCATTTTCCGGCTTAATCCGCTTACGTGGTGGTGGCTTTGCCCTCGTCTGCCCCTTCGGCCACCCTCTCTTCTTCTTCTTGTCCACGGCAGCGTCGATCACCTGCCCTGCCGCCGGAGGCGCCGGCGCCAGCGCCCGCGCCGGAGCCGGCACATCCACCGACGGGGCCTCAGAATTCTCCGGCCCTCGCTCGACACCAGTTTTAACAGCAGGCCCATCATCTTCTAACCCCTGCGTCTGAGCCACAGCAGCCAACAGCGTCTCTATATTCTCCATTTCAAGCAAAGGACAGAAAAGAAAAAGAAAGAAACGCTAAAACCCCCCGAAAATCCCTTCCTTTCCGGCAGCAAAAACCCACGAATCGCCGGAAAACCCAATTTGATCACATCAGCAAAACTCCAAGCACAAACAATTCACATACAAACAAAACAAAACAAAACAAAACAAAACAAAAAACGAAACTTGGCAAGGCAGAGAGGAGGAGCTTGTACTGCAATTGGCAGATGGGTCTTGGTGAGGGGGTGAAGTTTTATCATTTTTTTCCCCTCTTTTTTCCATTTTAGCTTTCTTGCAAGCTGTAATAATAGTAAAGTTCGAAACTTTTTTTTCTTGTTTGGTCCGATTATTCCTTTGGGAAGAGGGGCGGTGGAATTTCAGCAGCAGCGCAGCCCCCACCACCTCAAAAACCCCACCACAAACCCACGAAGCGCTTGCGATGTGAACAGCAGCATTTACAGGTGTTTCTTTTATAGTGGTCTGAACTATAGGGCGAGTCAAAACGCCGGAAGCGCGGCCGTGGTCGGGGAGATGGGGCCGGAGCCTATTGGGGAACACGTTAGTTTTGAGGGGGTCAAATTTTGTGGGTTGGATTTTCTAAAATGTTTCATTTTATTTTTATTTTTATTTTTTTTTTGGTGAAAAAATCAGTAAAATGTTTGGTCCCTCACTCCCTTGTTGATTTTTTATGAATGTGTGAGTAAAATGCAATAAATTTGCATGAATTATGATGGTCAGAAAGGGTAAAAGGAGTGCTCTTTTTGGCAAAATAATATTATTACTTGGTGTATCTCAAGAACACGACATGTGTATTCAATTGAAATTTCTAAAGACTTTTTAAAACTTTAAAAATCCGGGCGTATTCAACTAGAATTTTTAAAAGTCTTATGAATCCTGAATTATTTAATTTATCTTGACACTAGGATTTCTTGTACTAACTTTTTAAGATTTGGGTGGGATTTCTAAACAAAAAACTTTATAAAAAATCTCACTTCAAATCTTACCTTCAGACTTAAGATTTTCACAGAATTCCTCATAAACCTAAAAATCTTAAAAAGTCTTAAAATGTTACTTAAAATCCCAATTAAATACACCCCCTAATGAGAAATTGGAGTTTTTTTTTTTTTTTGTGTGTGTGTTTGAAATATGTGATGTAAATTAGATTATTGTTATTTTCCCAATAAAATATGTAATTTGATTTAATGGGAAATGGGATTTTTTTTGTTTTGGCAATAAGTAATGTAATTTAGATTATGTCTCATCGATCTGAGGAGATTAACTTGCTGTGATGATGCTTGATACCCGCAGGTTCGGGGATACTGAATTCTTGTATAGATACATGGCTTTGAATGAATAGGAAATTGTGTAATGGTTGTTGATGCAAGGAAGAGTAGGAAAACTGATAAAATCGAGTGAAATATGACTTAAATCAAGGTCATGGTTTAAAAATCTTGCCAAGGAGATTTTATAGACACCCAAATAAAGATGAAGTCGGCTCATAAATGGCCATTAAGAACTGATAAAAAATCTATCTATACTTATATTATAAGCAAACCTATTTACTAAATTCAGTATGTTGGATAGTCAACATTAATTAATAGCTTTCTAATCTTATCAAGTGCATTAATTACGTGTAGTTTGGTAAAAAAAAAAAAAAAATCTGATAAAATCAAAAAATTAAACGTGTATAGTAAGATTTGATCACAAATCTTTTTTTATCTTCTTTTCAATTTGGACGTGTATTTTTTTATTTCAGATTTTTTTTGTTTCTAAAATTCCATATTATTAAGGAAATAATCACGCATTTGATCACAAATCTTTTCTTATCTTTTTTCCAATTTGGACGTGTATTTTTTTATCTCAGATTTTTTTGTTTCTAAAATTCCATATTATTAAGGAAATAAATCATGCTCTCTCTTTCACAAATAAAAACAAACTAGTACAATACCCGTGTATTACACGGTGCCTGTTAAAAAATTATTCTTAAATTTTAAAATTAATGAGAAAATTATATTAAATTTAGTTTACTTTTTTACAAAAAAAAAATATATTACTATATATTTTAGAATGATATGTGTTACTTATGACTTACATGTGTTATATTATATTAGTTTTTACAACTTATATCATATAACTACTTGAAATATAAATATATTAATTGATAAATAATTTTATTTTTCTAATTAATAATAAAAATAATTTTATTATTGTTATAAAGATAAATATAAATTATTTTTTTTATACATACAATATGGATGTTAAATCGAAACTTATCAAAAGAAGATTAATTTGATATATTACATATGTGAAATTGATAAAAAATACAAAAGTTATTAACTTTTAAAATATATATACAATTCAATAGTTATAATAAGGAATGATATTAAAATACAATTAATACGTGTAACATTACCATAAATAATCAACATATTTATGGTAATCCGAACCTAATTATTTTTGGTTTGGAATTAAATTAAAATTTACTCAAGCCTAATAACAAAGCATGTAATTTTGCCACATAGGATTCTGAAGCACCAGAAGCAGCCACCAGAAGCAGCCACGTAGGCTCAGCGCATTCTGTACTAATATATAGGGGGATTTACAACTAATATAACTAACGCATCTCATAGTATTATGCAAGGAATAATTTATAATTATATTTATTTATAAAAGATGATAAGAATAGTTCAACATTCTTATCTCACTGG